TGGGCTTGAGCCCCTTGTAGAAGCCGCCAAAGCCCTCGAATCTGCAACGAGAACGAAACACAGGGATGCGGGTTAGTGGATGTGAACCAGCGGCTACAAACTACTTACAGTACGTGGAGGGGCGTTGGCAGTTGTTGTTTCAGATTAGCAAAGAGATTCTGCACAATTAGGAGTGAAAGAGTAAAGGAGCGGAAGGAGCACGGACTACTTACTGAAGCTGCCCTTAGCCCTTGGCCAAATTCAAAATGAAAAGACGCTGGTTGGACGCGCTGTCAGTGTTTTGTTTGCTTTAGTTTCTTTCTTTCTTTCATTCTTTTCCTTTCGGAGATATGGCCAGCGTCGTGGCTTTAAATATAGATTTTAGTAATTTCGCATATTTTTCTTGATTTGATTTGATTGGTTTGGGATTTGTTCCACACAGCTTGGCTTAGTTGGGGATGTTCACAATGCGTTCATATGCTTATTTACATAAGTGTCAAGGTTTATGCTTAAAATTATAAACCATTTGCAAAATTATGAAGAATCTTTTTGCCAAAACGAAATTTTGTGTATCAACTAAACAGTAGACTTGTGCTTCAACACTGCCAAGCCATTACAAAATAAATAATTTAACTAAACTATCAACTAAAATGTGTTTGTGTGCGAGAAATGCGACTCTGAAATTACATTTCGTGGGCAGAGGCGCCATCACAACAAGGTTGCTTTCAAAGTTTCATAATGGGCGAGGGATGTACAGTAGACTAACTATGGAATTACGCTTAGGACTAAGTTATAGGGTGCTAATTACAACAATAATACAGAACAAGTTCTTGTCATTTTCTGCTGATTTAGTTATAGCTGCACATCATCGGAGGAGGCTAGACAGATTCGTGTATTCTAGGCGCTTAGCTTAGCTTAAATTCTTGTTCAGATTCTAGATTCTAGGCTCTAGTTGCTATCTGTGTGCGTGGGTAATACTCCATCTAGCTGGTCAGTTTCTCCCAGATCAGCATGACCATGCAAATGTTGGGCGTAACGTGGACCAGGTAGGGCACCAGACCCTTATAGAAACCGCGCATGCGCTCGTACCTCCAAGTCTGTTTGATGCAGTCCCAGGTGCCGTTGTAGCGATGGTGATGGTCCTGCAGTCGGGCTCTTACCACCTGATAGGGATAGGTGGCAGCCGCTGCGATCAGCTTGGAGATGGCCGCAAACGCCAGGTACTCGGTGGTGGCCTGTGGGATGGAGAGAACGAGAATACATATATTAGTGGGGGCGTTTCGTATTTATTGAATGGCTGCCAAATCGCAGAGACGTCATCACACCGGATATATTCGGATTCCTACACAGACCTGGTCATCAATATAAGAGCGCAGAGTGAGCTTCTAGTTTCTCAGAATTGTTTGTTTATAATTCTCAGGCCGAATTTGTTTTTCTATTAATTCTCTCAGACTTAACTTGATTTCATAATTTATGCTATAATTCTGACCACATCTGTTCTGCAGAAATTCAGTACATATATCCGTTGTGTCAACGCCACGCGCAGATCATCACATGACTGGGCATCATATATATCTGGTCGCCCTCTGTGTGACGCTCGCATACTCACCAGCTTCGTGTCAATGGGCAGCTTGCGGTACTCGTTGTACGCGTTCTTCAACTCCTCGTAGGTCATGAACTGAATGGCGCCATGGGAGACACCCAGCATGCCGGGCACAAAGCCCCGGTACAGGCCACGAACACCCTCTGCCTTGTAGATCTCGGCCAGAGCATGGACCATGCCCTTATATTCGGCACTGCTGGCGGCATCGCACTGCAGGCAGAGGCGTGTCTTTACCACCCAGATGGGATTGGTCAGCATCAGAGTGAGTGCTCCGGACTCGGCGGCAGCCAACATGTGCATGGTGGGACCCAGGGGCATGGTAGTATTGCCGCCCTGAATGAACGTCTTAATTGTGTTGTAGCTGGTCGATAAAACACACTTTAGTTTGTGATATTCTTGGGGAAACAAGTAGAGAGTACTCACAACATAAAGTACAGGCCCCAGGAGGAACCCGATCCCCAGATATTGGGGGTGACGCCCTTGTAGAGTCCACGGAAACCCTCCTGCCGGAAAATGGTTGTGAAGGCACTGCCCAAGCCCCGGTATTGCGGCACCGTAGCCGTCCGGCCATCGTTTACTGCAAGTAGACAATCGAAAGGCGTTCGTTAATGATGATGATAAACACACGTCTAGACAGCAGGGCAACCTTGGAGCGAGCACGCAAGATTATGGATTATGGATACTGGTACTAAAGGGCTTGGGTCAACGTCATTCTGGGTATATATTTTCTGGGAGTGACAATGGTATATACTAGGCAACTGTACGTTGGCGAAATCAGTTGTTGACTTCAGCCCGTGGCCCAAGTTGTTTTCGCCAAAAAATCATCAGATAGATAGCGTTAATTGCCAGCGGATGCGATAAGCGGGTAGAGTCGAAAGCGAGTTCTCTACATGTTTACGCGTCCATTAGCAGCGGCTGCTTGTGGCTGCTATTTATATTAGGCTATATATTCGTATATATGTATGGCAATCATAAGATCTGGCCTGACAACAGACGCAAGCCCCGGCAAGAAAGGGGCTCGTCGTCGTCTTGGTTGCCTCCATTTCTGGGCTATTTTTAGCTGCCCCCCTCAGGTGTGACCTTGAAACGGGACTGGATTCACCAACTAGGCTCTGCCTGTTGCCTGATCCAAACGGGACAGGGACTTGGCTGGGGGATTATGATGAAGCGCATTGGCTTTGGACGCAGAGTAATGAGTTTTTCGACATGCACTCGATATTGGTCGGCGCGATAAGGTCGCTTGCTCGCCGCCGAGTGGTGATTCAGCACACTTCCCGCTTGGCAACAGTGGGAACTTGTTTTTCGCCACTGTGCTGGATGCTTTTGCTGTAGCTTGTGCCACATAAACCGGACAACAGTTGCCGCTGAAAGTTGCCGTTAACAAAGCCAACGCAATGTACAGTCAAGTCAAGTGGTCACGTGATTGGAAAAGAGCAAGAGCAGAAAAAAAGCACACGAAAAGCAAAAAGCAAAAGCAAGATAAACGGGTTTCGTGTGCTTGGGCCACAAATGCGTCATCGCTAAAAAGGCCTTGCGCAAGTCAATAGAAAACAGCTGTTGCCAAATCCCACACCAAGAAGGAGATTCAAGAAGATTTATCAAGGGAAATAGCCTTATTCTTCAAGGAAATTTGGAATAATTGTTACTCCAGATGATCTTCCCAGAAGATTCAAGAATTGAAAAGTAAACAGCTTCCCGAGCTCCGGGTTTCCCAACCTTTCCTCTAACTCGGAGGGAGTTCGCTTATCAGCTTACAATATTTTCGCATGGTGTGATTTTTATTCGCATAAACAACGCGTGTGGTTGTTATTGTTTACTGATCACTTTTTCTGGTGAATTTACATATTCACTTTACGGCACTGGGCTCTTTGCTTTTAGCTGATTCCGTTCAAGCAAAAAGCCGAAGCAACAATATTTAATAAACAAAAAACCCGCTCCCGCTGCTGATGTTGTTGTTGTTGTTGATATAATTATTGTTGTTTTGGTATTTTGAACCAGACTATACGGAAATATTGTTCACGAATTTCGCACATGAAGCGCAATCGAGGACACAGATATGATTCAGTTTCCGATTCAGTATAGTTTTTAGCAAACGACGCATAAAGAAAATGCCTCAGTCAGCTGACGAGTGTCTGCATAACATCAATAAACATAAATGATAGTTAATATCGATCTTTGGCCAATGCGACTATAAAAAGTAAAAGCGAGTAAACAATAGCGACAATTGCCATTAGTCGGCAGGAATTTCTAGATTAGAGACAATTTCGAGTGCTTGTGCTTGCGACAATTGTCAACAAACTCATAAATTATTTTCTCAAATAAGAATACAACTAAGTTCACGTGCCCCTGGCCGCATTAAAGTTTTGTTTACATATACAATGCGCGAAAAACTGTCGAGCGCGTCACTGCTGGGATACACGCGCAAGCGTCTCAAATTTTCCATGGAAAATTTCCTTAATGCATTGCGCATACAAGATGCGAGTGTGTGTGCCAGTGCAACACAATAATCTGCAGCCAGGCTGGCGACGATTTCCCCCCGATACTCCGACACGTGCCGGGTGTTTCTTTTCTGCTGCACAGAAACAAATTGAGATAGTTTTTGAGTTTAAAATGGGAAAAGAAATACTTTAAATCTGATTTTTTGTACGAATTTTTGAAGATTTTTGATTAACTACTAGGTGTAGTTAAATATAGGTTTTTAGGGGATAATGTTCTGGTTTACTCACAGACTAAACAGAAATGATTATATACAATTAATATCTATAAACAACAAACTCAAACTAAGAATAGCAGGTTTAGTTTAAGATCATTTTGTACTTAATATAATAGGATCATTAATTCAGATTTGTTCTATAATTTTTAATCCAGCAGAAAATCCAACAAAAATGAAGTATTCCTCGTTATTTGAAAGTATTTTAGCTTTTCCTAATAGTTAAAACATTCTTCTTTAAACGCACAAGAAAATTAAGTCCCTATTAAACCAAAATACAACAATACAATCGAATTTCACAATGAAAAACTGAATAGGATTGATCCTAAATTGTATATACCACTTATAAGTCTATGTTTTGCCCAGTGCAGCGCGGAAAGCCCCATTAAAATCAATGATGACTCACCTGCGAATCGGATCTTGATCAAATCCAGAGGGTGGAGAATCAGCGTGGAGGCCACTCCACCGGAAACTCCGGCCACCAAATGCTCATATTTGACGTGGGCGAAGACGTTGAACTTCTTGGGGCTGCCCGAGGAGGCGCTGGTTTTCATGGCGTTCATTGTGCGGATTTGCGATGTGCTCTCGTTTCTGTATTATTGTTGCTGCTATCACTTGTGCGCTGCGATGCGATGCGATGCTTGGAAATTGTACTAAAACTACGTGCTATTTACACTCTTTGGCTTTTTGGTGGATTCGCTAATTGCAAATCAAAGGAAATCGCTCGCCGAATTTGTCTTGTTGCTAGGCGCACAGTTGTTGTTGTTGCTGCTGCTCCTCTGGTTTTTGTTGCTTTCGTCGTTTTTGCCGCTGCTGCTGCTACAGTTGAAACATTTCTGCCTTTGCTTTGTTGTTGCCCAGCACATATTTTCACTCGTTTTCTGCCAGTGGAGAGACCAGTCGGAGTTGTTTTTTGTTTAATTTAGCGCTCTTGCTGCTTCCAGAATGCTGACGAAATTTCCTAGACAGACGTGTTTCTAATCGCTCTCCGATTGATATTATTTCTGCTTAGCCATTCGACGTTTCTTATGTAATTCCGAATTTTGTGTGTAGCCTTTGTATTTTGTGCTGAATAATAGTTGCGGACCTGCCTAGCTGCCAGCGATTTTCTGATTAGCGCACTGCGAGTAGTGCACGTGTGCCGCACTGGAAATTGAGTAATAATAGCTGGCGGACAAAAATGCTGCTGTAAGCTTGATGAAAAAACGAAAACAAACTTGTGGGAACTTTCGCGGATTTGGAGGAAATCTTGCAGCAGTGTGACCGTATGCGTGGTGTGTCAAAATACCAAATGACAAATGAAATTCCATCCCCACTAATGGCCGTATGACACTCTAATGCGGCTATGACATTGGCGCATTAATTATATTTTAGAGCTTATGTGTTAAATTTTTTTAATTTTGTAGTATATATCGACGAATTTCCGCGAATGTATCGTATGTCGAAAAATTAAATTTTATAGGAGAAGCTTTTTTTTAATTTAATCTCATAATTCATTAAAGCGCGAAACTTAAAGTGGTCTCGCAATGAGAATTTTATTATACCCTTGCAGGGTATTATAATTTCAGTCAGAAGTTTGCAACGCAGTGAAGGAGACGTTTCCGACCCCATAAAGTATATATATTCTTGATCAGCATCAACAGCCGAGTCGATCTAGCCATGTCCGTCTGTCCGTCTGTCCGTCTGTCCGTCCGTCTGTCCGTCCGTCTGTCCGTTTCTACGCAAACTAGTCCCTCAGTTTTAAAGCTATCTGAATGAAACTTTGCATATAGTCTTCTATATACTCTCACTGCTATATGTCTGAACGGGCCGGATCGGACGACTATATCATATAGCTGCCATACAAATGTTCGATATATTTTTAGAAAAAAAATTATAACTTTGCTGTTTTTCAACATTTTTGCACCATTTTTTAGATATGACCATTTTATATTATTTCTGAATTTTGGTAAAAATTTTATGAAAATCAGACGACTATATCATATAGCTGCCATAGGAACGATCGGGAAATTAATAGAAAAAATATTATAGATTCGTTGTTTTTCAACGTATTTTCATCTACTCCGGGATATAAGCTTATTTTATTATTCTAGAATTTTGGTATAAATTTCAAAAAAATCGGACGACTATATCTTATAGCTGCTATAGGAACGATAGGGAAAGTAATAGAAATAATTATAACTTCGTTGTTTTTCAACGTATTTTCATCTACTTTGAGACATGAGCTTTTGGTATTATTTCAGAATTTTGGTAACAATAATTTGAAAATCGGACAACTATATCATATAGCTGCCATAGAAGCGATCCGTAGATGTAGAGAAAATGTAAGGCTGGGAATGTAAAACTGTAACTGTCAAACTGTAAACACAATAAATATAGAAAAAATGTTATGAAACTCTGTTTAGTGTCTGTTTTCGGCATTATAATTTATAATATAAATATCAAAACCAATCTGCAAGGGAATACAAACTTCGGCGTGCCGAAGTTAGCTTCCTTTCTTGTTTTTATTTAATTTTGCTGGTTTCTGAACTTAAAAAATATTAGAAAATTTGGAAAAATAATATTATTTCATTGGCAAGGTTCTTGCGCTGTAAAAATACATTTAAATACTTTTTTTTTTGGTAATAATTAAAAAAATTGTAGTTTTATAGGTTAAAAACATAATTTTACAGGTTTCCGCATTCATTTATGCGTGAACACAAATCTGATAATTATCAGATAAATTATAATTTATGGTTAAACATTTTTTGTGATATACTTAATTTAATTTTTTTGAGGAGTAGATATTTTTTGGTGGGGAAACTGGACTTTCTTACTTATAATGGTTACGATAGTTATAGTAAAGTTAAAGGAACCGTATATATTTAAATTAAGTTACGGATATAAACAGGCTATTTCGCCTTGTAAGAAAAGAGTGCTTTCTAGAGTGGGTCTGGGCTGCACTTTGGATTCTTCTAAATGTTCCAAAGTGCAATGACTGTTTTATTGATAAATCGGGTTTCCTGCTTAATAAATTGAATGCTTTCATTTCGCAACAGAATGTTTGACTAAACAAACTCGACACCACAGACAATCACTTCAGGACGTCTTCAGATTTAGAATGCATTCTTATGAACTGTTCTGGAAGTGCTTCTTCACGCGCAGACGCCTTCATTCAATAATAGAAATCAAAGATAAGACACCCACTTGTTGAAGAATTGTTTCATTTCTAAATTTCGACCGGACTGACTTTTTAATTGGAACAAGTGCACTTAGAAAAAAATATAAAAATTGAAAAAAGAGTAAGTAAAATATTTTTCACAAAACACTTTTCCAAAAAAGACTAAATGTATTGTAATTTCCAAGTGGCTATTTTTTATTTAGGGAAAAAAACGTGTGTCAAAAACGTGGTTCCCAATTAACCATGAAATGACAGTCCATTTGGTTACTTTGTCGTTAGTTTTGCGATGATAAGATCGAAGATGACACACGACAGATGACTGATCGGAGCTCTCTCCTATCTATTCTATCGGCAATAGGTAGGGCGCCTCCTGAAGTGGCCACTCCTGGAGCTTATAAGAAGTCTGCTCGAAACTCGCCGCCTCACAGTGAACGCTGTTACGTTCGAAACTCTATTCAAAATGAGACTGCTTATCCTTTTGATTGGCCTTTTGACTGTGGGCCTGGTGGCGGCAAAGTCTGCTCCAGGACGCATGGCCGTGCGATATGACAACTTTAAGGTATACCAAGTGACCATAGAAACCGATCTTCAGATGGAGGAGCTTAGGAAGATTCACGAGCACATCACTGTAAGTGAATATGAGAGGATATAACGTACGATTTGACAATGAAATCCATTTAAGGTGCACTTCCTAAACGAGCTCGCTGGCCCCGGACGTACTTACAACCTCATAGTAGGCCCTCTGTTCCAGAGATCCCTAGAAAAGACCCTCAATTTCCTAGAGATTGTCTATAAAGTTATTGTTGAGGATCTGCAAAAGTAAGTTCAATTTGTTCCAGTTTTAGTTTTCAAGTATTTATAACCCTTCCTATTTCGACACAGACTGCTGGATGAAGCCTCTGTCGGAGATGATTCACACATGGAGTGGGAGACATACCACACCCTGGACACCATCTACGATTGGGTGGACCAGGAGTGCGCTGCCCACGATTACCTGGAGTGTAAGGTGATTGGTAAGTCGCACGAAGGTCGCGACATCAAGGGCGTCCGCCTGTCGAAGCGATCGGGCAACAAGGCCATCCTTCTGGAGGGCAATATCCATGCCATGGAGTGGATCTCCTCGGCCACCGTCACCTTCCTGCTAAACCAACTGATCAACTCCGAGGATCCGGAAATGCAGCGCCTGAGCGAGGAGTACGACTGGATTGTGGTGCCGATGGTGAATCCGGATGGGTTTGTCTACACCCATGAAGTGGAGCGGCTGTGGCGTAAGAACCGTCGTCCCAATGGTCATATGAATACCACGGGAGCGTGCTATGGGATCGACATGAACCGGAACTTCGATTACCACTGGGGCGGTGCTGGCTGGAATATCGATGAGCCCTGCGATCACTGGTTCGGCGGGGAGGAGCCCAACACGGAGGTCGAGATCCTGTCCCTGCAGGACTTTGTCAGCTCGTTTGACGACGGGTATATCCGGTCGTATATGGCCTTCCATGCCTACGGACAGTATGTTCTGCTGCCCTATGGACACTCGAACACCGAATTCCCGCCCAACTACGAGCAGATGCAACGCATAGCCGCTGCTTTTTCGGATGCAGCTGCCGAGGTCTATGGTTCGACCTTTACCTACGGAGCTAGCGGTCTACTTAACTGTAAGTATTATATTGGAATTTTGACGAGAGGGTCGATCTTTTGCCAAATAAGCGCTGAGCAGCTCATTTACAAGATAAAAGGAAACCTTTCTAATATGTATGTATATCCCCCATAGATGTCGTTTCTGGTGCTGCCAAGGACTGGGCTTACGGCGTGAAGAACATCCCCTTTACCTGCACCGTGGAGCTGAGGGACAAGGGCACCTTTGGCTTCTTCCTGCCCTCCAATCAGATCACCGAGGTGGGCATCGAGGTTACCGCTGGACTGAAGGCCCTGGTCAACAAGGCCCAGGAAGAGGGCATTTTCGATTAAGCTCTGTAAGCAGGTGCTGTGATTAATAAATATACTTTATATTTATTCATTCGAACATTCCAAATTGGATAGAAAAAAAGCCTTTTGTTTTCAAAATGTAACGATTTTTGTTGTTACCAAAATTACACGCAAAATTTTACTTTTTGGCGCCACTGATGTAGAATTTATTGTGTCAAAAAAATAATAAAAAGAAATAATAAAGTTATTTTAAATATATCTTGTTTGGGTACTAACAAATACGTATTTAAACATAAAGTATTAGCTAAACAAATTTTAATAAATTTTTAGGCTTAAAGGAAGTTAAAAGATCAGAAGTTGGGATAAAACTGCATTTATAGTTGAAGGTGTTTTCATTTTTAATAAAGATTATTAAATGTTTTCCTCTTCTTTTTTACTCGCATATCATATTAATTTATTATTATTTAAAGCAGACTAGAGTAGTTTCTCTTAATAGTTCAATTTTCGGACTTAATTCTTAGCTAAACGTTCTCAAAACCATGTTGCACATAAATTGTCAGCTCTTTTCCATAAATATTAATGCTTGTGCTGCCTTGGCTCTTACTGAGAAATTGAATTATTGAGCTGAAGATTATTTTGGCAGAGCACAAAATACTCCTGAAATATTCCCCTAGCCATTGGACTATACCACTCTATGGGGGAAAGGACCCAAAGTCGGTGTGAGAGCGGTTGTCCTGCTGGAATTACTGCATCTGGTTATGTAGGCAAATTATGCCACGTGGCTGCAGTATCAATAAATATTTATTCTCCCGGCCCCCCTGGGGCTGTTGCTCTTTTGGGAGTCCGGCAATTTGCACTGCGGCAGCGGTGGCGGAGGACTTTGTATCCCATATTCCGTATTCCGGATACCGGAGAAGGGGTAAACTTTGTGGCACGCAGCAAAACTTTGGCCAAATGCAGCGGAATCCGGTAGGATGTGGGCCCGCAGGCTGAAGCTAGAGCCGTAGCCGTAGCCGAAGCGAAAGCCAAAGCCATCAACACCAACGGGGCCGACATAAAATTCCTACTACAAAGTGGTTATTTTGTTTGAAGTAATCCGCAAGAAGTCGTTAAAACTGTCGTTGGCAGTGCTCCCAGATTGATGATGGTTTCACGTGTCCGCTGCCAGGATG